CGTTGCGGCATTCAATTCGTGCAACAGATCATATCGTGGACGACCTGCGCGCATGAAGGACGTGCTGAGTATCGGCGACGAGGAAGACAAGCTTCGATAAGGAAAGCGTGTTCATTTTGCACAATGTGGCTCCAATCGACAAACTGAATGTGACTGGGGCCAGCATCCGGGGATTGTGCAAGGAAGACAACAGGCCCCAGTCATATCACCAGGGGGCTAAATAATTACCTGTATTGCTTTTGGGGTTCTTTTTTAAGTATAGTATAATATACCCCCAAACCCTATTCTAAGGCCCCCACGGTAGTTTGTCGGCCACAAGCATCCCCTCGACAGGACCCCGGCACCGGCCCTCGCATTCTCGAATGCTCTGAGCCGCATGTGCATGTCACCTCAGAGCATTCACGGCCATTCTGATGAACCGTGATCACGCCAAGTCGCCCGAAATCGCGGCCCGGAGACTCACCCTAGCACCCGACGGTAGCTCTTCGAAGATGGTGCTGCAGAAAAGAACTAGTATAGGAGCCAAAATAACTACCAATACTATTTTGGGGTTCCCTACTATTATAAACACAGAAAAATGGACCTCAACACCCTGCTCTAATTTTTCACGCATCTATAGTAAGCCTTCAAGCTTGTCAGGCCCAGCAGGTGAGCGAGTGGAGGTCGGGTGGCATGTGGAGTGGTCATCAGACCGCTCCTACACGAAGCCTGTCCTGCGTAGACTTTTCCGGGCTTCAAGTTAGGGGCTTGGGGCTTCGGACGACATGTCGTGGGATAGGTAATTAGACTGATAGCATGTGCAGCAACGGCAATGGTTTCCTTCGAAGTGTCTGCAAGCTTCCGAATGCTTCGAGAAAAAGTGCGGTTCGTAGACTGACATCTCCTGCCGTTTGGTCAGTACTTTTTCGATATGGGTCTCGTGTGCGTTCTTCTTGTTGTCGGCTGCAGCCGCTACGGAGCTACTGGTCGCGAGATAGGGCCGGTAAGGAATATCATGTCCTAGTACGAATTAATTAGAGTGAACGCCATCTCACAAGGATGTCACAGCCGAGCATTCCTGCCGAGGATGGCTGGATGGGAGATCTGCATCCGTCTCCCAGAGCCTCGGATGCATGGAAGAAGGGTCTGTGCTGCTGAGCTGGGTTTGGGAGATTCAATGTGGGTGCTTGCAAATCCAGAGCTGTTCTGCTCCGATGCTTCGCAAACGCCAGGTCGGCCATCTAAGCACACAAAACCTTACATGTTCGGTCAGTTCTAGTATACGTACTTCACCGCCGGACTACAAGATGCCGTGTCCGCACTCATCGTCGCCTTGAAAGGCTAGCCCCAAACCACGAGGAGCAAACCACGAGCACTACCGTCTCGTCAACGAGCCTCACCGAGACGCGCCCTGTCGTGAGTACATCATTCGGGGTTTCCAGGAAGCAGCTTGTTTGCACAATTCAGCTGCAGCTCCATGCGCTGACGACACGCCAGATTTGGGCCACTTCGCCTTTTGGCAGTGACAGCTCGTGCCCTTACCAGCTCAGCTCTGCTTCACGCAAGGCTCTCGTCCACATCTACAGTGTCAACATCCGCAACGACCAGGACCGGCTAAGGCGGAATTTGCTCTATCGCATGTATTGCATGCATGAGCACAATCGCGTGACACCCTCGCCGGAAGCTGTCACAATGCAAATCCATGTCACATAAATGTTCCTTCACAAACAAAGACGCGGGATTTGAGAAATGTGAAGTCTGTCCTTGCTGAATTAAGACAAAAGTGAGCCACGCACCCAGGACCCGTACGTCTACAACAACCACAGTGCTGCGCCCTCAGCCCTCGCGCCGCAGTGAACGGCCAGTTCCGTTCTCCTTTCGTTACCTTGGCCTGTCTCGGAGCCACTATGACTAAATTATCATCGCCATCGCATTGTCGAGCCGCTGTCAGTACCTTTATCCTCGATTCCAGCACCAGCTCACTGGCATGACGTCACCATCGTCGTTTTAATCTGCTCCTGCTCCTCCTCCTCCTCCTCCTCCTCCTCCTCCTCCTCGGAATAATCACCACCTCCAACATCATCACATCATCGTCCTCATCCTCCTCGTCGCCGGAGTCAAGTTGCCCAAGTCCCAGACGACTGCATGCAGAATGGCTCTCGGGCTTCACACTCCTGTGCTGCGCTGAAACCTCCTCCAAGGATTTTCCGCCTCTTGGAGGGGACGTTGGTCCTGTCGGTTGCGGACGCCGCAACCGCCTCTGAGGCTCCTTTGAGGGTGATATAATATAGGGGCCTTTATACTAATTACCTATACTATTTTGGGGGTTCCTTATCATATTGATAGTGTAATGGGCCCCACAACCCATTCTAATTATTAAGGCCTCTATATTGCGAGAGGGCTTCGGGGTTGACGGCCGCCGGTTTCAAGACCCGCTGTTCGAGTTTTTGTAATTGTGGCCGTTCTGACCTTGGCAACCATGCCAACATTGCATTTCTTGCAGTCTAGATGCTCCAAATGGGGTTTGGAGCGGAGTTTAGTCTATTTTTGTCATGAGTCATATTCAGGGACTTTCAGGAACACCTGTATCGGCAAGTATTCACTCGGCAAGATCGGAGGACCTCGCCACCGCGCCGGGGCGTGCAGCCCTTGCTACAGCTTTGGCCGTGACCTTCGGAGTGCAGCAGGCCGCAGCGGAAAGTCTCTAATCTAGGGGCCTTAATAATTACTTATACTATTCTAGTGGCTCCTTTTTACAATTATAGTGTATTGGGCCCGGATTCCTTATTCTAATTATTAAGGCTGGTGTTTCCCTCACGGTTTAGGGCCGGCTTCTGTGGGGGCTTGGGAGACAAGTAGATTGCAGCCTCAAGATGGCAGGGCTCCAGTGAGCTCCGAGTCGAGGTGGTATTGGGGAAGTGCCTGTTGGAAAGGTTCAGCGGGCACGGTGCGATCTTCGGGAAACAAGTTACGGCTAAACCCTCTACCCTATGAAATAATGTAGGAACCTGTAAAAGGCGGGAAGAACCGAAACGCTCCCACAGACAAGAAGACCATGGAACACAGCCTTAAACCGTAAGCATCCCGAAATCCTACTGCAGGATTTGGACCAAAAAGCAAGCACGAAACACAAATTTTAAACCCTAAAGACAAGTCCAGACATAACAAGAGACCTCGTCTGGCGAGTCCGAGTTGCGAGGACTTAAGGACAAATCCACGGCCCATCCCCAGCCCACCAGGAGAACATAAATCTCTATGACGTCTCGCTGGCCTCAGCAGGGCGTCGGCTGTCCGGCCCCTTGGCCGCCAGAGATCAGGGGTTTCAGGTTTAAGGTTCAAAGTGTTTAGGGCGTAGCGTTTCGAATGCCTGGGAGGGAGAATGAGGGAGAGAGAGATGGAGAGAGAGGTCTAGGTCTGTTTTAGGAGTTGCTTTTGTTTGTTACTGCTTCTAGTTTTGCTGTTGCGGGTGTTGCTGCTGCTGCTGCTGCTGTTGTTGTTGTTGTTGCTGAAACCGTTGCTGTTGCTGTTGTTGTTGTTGTTGTTGTTGTTGTTGTTGTTGTTGTTGTTGTTGTTGTTGTTGTTGTTGGTGGTGGTGGTGGTGGTGGTGGTGGTGGTGGTGGTGGTGGCGGCCCGTGTGCTACTGTAACTCATGTTACAGGCAGAAGCGGTTAGGCACTCCTTGCGTGCAGCTGTGCCTACCTTGCTTAAGTCGCTCATGGCCGGGACGGTTGAATGAGGCGCAGTCACCATCGGCTATAACCTCCTGGTTTCTGCTACTTCGGCATCATCCTCAGTTTCTTAGACCACGAGCCATCACATAACGACCGCATTGTGCCTGTAAAGGGGCCACAAGCCGTGTGTTCATGTTGAGCGCCGTGATCATCTCAGCATGTTGCAGCACGTACAGGATGAGGGCAGTGCGAAGTGTTGACCTGAATCACGAGATATCGTGGAAGCACTTCAGCCTAAACCCTAAATCCCTGTGTCAGCCGGCAGTCGCTTCAATGATTCCTCTAAGTAGATTCGCACTTGTCCTCAAGCAGGAGCCGTGCCTCATCGAGCTGCAGCTTTCATTAGATCTCTTGTATGTCTCAGCTTGCAGACTGGGTTTGAAGTTGTTGTTGGTATTCTCGTTGGTGCCATCCCCCAATCAGACCACCACGTGTGAGCTCCGAAATCCGTATATCCGTTCTTCCACACCTGGCAACCCGACGCTGCCTTGCTGCAGGGGGTCGACCACGAGCATCTCGGCTAGAGTGATGCGTTTCGCAAGCACTGCGCCAATGCTGATTTGGTGGTGGTAGCAGTAGTAGCAGTAGGAGGAGGAGGAGGAGGAGGAGAAGCTAGTTGCAAAAGGAGGAGTAGGAGGAGTAGGAGTAGGAGAACCAGTTGGATGAGTAGGAGCACGAGTACGAGCAGGCGTAGCAGCAGTAGCAGCAGCAGCAGCAGTAGTAGTACTGACTCAGACCGCCGAAGGTCAATCTCCAGCAGTTCCGGCACCCTTGCCACCAACGTCAACCAGGAAAGGGACGAGGGTATGGGATCCATCGTGCTGCTGTTGCTAAGGAACCGATCAGCGGCAGAAGGAAGAGCCGCACTGATAGATTCGTAGATGAACTCTCAAGGTTGGAAAGGCTTGGGCAGAGACATTTAAATATCATTTCTTACATATTTTTCGATGTGTATATATATATATATATACACATACATTGCTTAGTCTATGTTGATAATCCCTCCCTCCCTGACTCTTGCTCGCTTTCGTGGAGGAGCTCGCCAACCGGGGAGTCGCCGTGGTCGTCACAAGCATCCAGAATGCCGGCTTCTGAATTTCATTTCTTGGGGAAGTAGCCGCTCTAGGAAGCCCAGACCGCGTCGTAAAATCCGCGTGTGGCTCCGAAATGCTCTGGAAGAAACAGTTGTGCTACAAAAACATAGCAGCAGCTACATGTAGGTCACCATCTTAACCCGAAGCCTTTGGATCCAGAAGGGCCCACCAGAATCGGGTCGCTCCATAGGTGAAGATGACAACGACGACAACTACCAACACGTGCCTGGACTGAGACTCTCTAAGTGTCCGCCTTGAGCCTCAGCAGGGTGGGGTCTGAAGAGACTTAATGTACTTCATTGGGGTTCTTTGTATGAATCCTACTATATTGGGGTTATAGGCCCAAGGCTTCTTAATCAGGTTCCTACATTACATAGAGTAAAGCTGAGGAGCCGGCAGGGGTCAGGGCAGAGGGCGAATTTGAACGGTGCGTTTCAACCGCCTCTTAAGCCAAGCGGAGGTGCATGTGAGAGCGACGGAAGATTCATTCTGGGCCGTACAGGAAGACAACGTTCACAGTGACGACGTCGCTGACGACCAGAACTACAACTGCCTCCACCACTTCACAAACCGTCACCACGACCAACACCCCCGCGATTGGGCCGCACTTAGCTTCCGAAGGTTCGTTGAGCGCAAGGCTGCCGTGTGCAAAACATCCCGAATCGTCGTAAGTTGCCAGGTTCCCTCAACTTTGCAAACTGAGGGCTACTATAATACTAGAATAGCAGCTTCACTTGCTCCAAATGGCTGACTCAGCTACGGCAATGTGGCCCTGTACCGTCCGAGTTTCAGAGAATCAACGACCGTTCCAAAAAGCCCTAGACGGTTGCGGCTTCGTCGAGCGCCGAAGACGTAGTAGCATCCTTAGACACAGGACCCTGAACAAGATACACTTGCCAGTTTCAGCAAGCTCCCTGCCCTGGACCCCAAATCCCATAACCCTAAACCCCTATAGATGAGCTTATCGGTAGTGAGCGCCGAAGCCCCTTCAAGGTCGACTGCGTTCTCGCCGACTGGTCAGACTGGGGAAAGTGCGACCGCCCCTGCAACGGCGGCAACCGCACACGCGAGCGCCAGGTCGCTGTGGCCGACCAGTTTGGTGGCCAAGCATCTCGGAGTTTTGGGAATATTTTTCATATTTACTAAAATAATATAAAAAAACATGTAAGATAAGTCCTTCAATAAGGCTCGTGAGAGTAGGGGTTTAACCAGTGTCTGCTATTGGGTTTGTGATGATAATGCTTGAGACTTGTGCTAACAAGGATCATGCGAATGGGGTTTGCAATTTGTCCAATTATGGGGTTTAGGGCTTAGGGCATATTGTTGCTTCGAGCCGCTATCCCCGGATACATAATGCCGAAACCAGGAGAGAAACTAGTACACTTCTGGCGAGCGCAGGCATGTTTCGGGGAGGTGCTCCAGATGGAAGTTTGCAATACGAGCCCTTGCTACTCGGTCACAGTCCCAAGAAGTGAAGGCCAATGTGAAGCTCAAGTGCAGGTCCAGAGTCCAGAGTGCCCCATTGGGGAAGGGGATTTCTGGTCTGCCCTGAGTCTTTGAGTCGCGCCAAAGCCAAACCCCTACCTCTTAAACTCCAAGCAGGAGGTTGCAAGACAGAGAGAAAAAGAGAGGCAGATCCCTGCGCCCTTTCAGTTCGGACGGGCCTGCGACTCTGTCAGCTGCGCTGGTGAGAAACGACGCCGAGCACCCTCGACCCCTAAATTACCCAGGCTCCGATTGCCTCGCGGGATTTTACCTGGTCTTCGTCTCCGATACCGCCACAAACTGCAGTGCCTGCGAGAGTGGACGATACCAGGTGGCACTTTAGGCTACCTTCCGATGTCGCCATAGTTATGATCTTCTTTTGGAAGTAGACCATGAATCGTTTTATGGGTCCCCCTAGGCTGCATCTTTAGACTGCGTCTTAGGTGGGTCGAGTAGACAATACTCCTGCAGCAGCCCTGCCAAGCGCTTCACCCAGGATACAATCCTGACCCAGGAGCTACTGGACCGGAGGCTTGCGCACCTTGCTTGTGGCTGAGATCTGATTTAGCTTTGATCTTTTATAGGCATACAAGGGCCGTTTGTTCATTAAGCTCACTGACTTGTGCTAGAAGACCTTGGAGACCGTAGATCCTAGAGTCGGCCTCGGCATGCTCGTACCTGAAGATTGCATGGTTTTCGATACGGAAGCCTGGCCCTTTGCAACATACGCGGAAAGCCGTGAACACAACCTTCCCAGAGAGCCCAATACCTCCTGATTAAGGAACATACCTTAAATCATAATATCAAGTCCCCGATAATTTAAGGTATATTTCTTAATTAAGGGGTATTGGGCTCTCTGGCTTTATGCCCGAGGACGGTAACAAAAGCCCCAGACCCTAGACCCAAAGCCCAGGATGGGTGAGCGAAGTGAAGAAGGCGCATCTTTCTGCGAGCCCTGTGCCGAAGGCTCAGCGGCTGCCCCCATTCTGAGCCGAAGCGTCGCCAGCCCCTTGGTTCCGGCGTTGAAAAGGCACTTAGGCTTTGTAGGGTTGTCAAGAGAAGGGGTTAGAGGGGTTTATGGCTCTTCGAGTCTTAGGGATTATAGGGCTATCAAAAAATCATTAGAGAGGTTGAGGGTTCTTCGGGTTTTGGGTTGTAGGGTTTAGGGCTTGACGTTTCGAATGCCCGGGAGAGAGAGAGAGAGAGAGAGAGAGAGAGAGAGAGAGAGAGGGTTTAGGAATAGAGGGGCTCAGGGTTATAGGGCTGAAGAAATTGCAGGGTGGAGGGTTCAAGGTCATAGGGTCTTTATACAGGGATCAGGTATCGGACGAGTTTGTTGGCATTGCAGGGTTTTGAGGTCTGACTTTCATACATGAAGTCAAACAGTAGAACCAACCCAGAGGCCCATAGGATTCAGGATTTCCTCCATATGGTGGTAATAACGTTGTCAGTATTTGTGTCATTCGTTTCTTATATGTCTTAGTATTTGTTCAGAGCTAAGTTCCAGGTAGCCTGGGCCACTTCTCAGGGAGCTTCGTCTCTGGGCCAGTCGGAGAAGCGGAGCTTTCCTGCGGGCCGGGCACTTGCTCTGGGATCCTCTCCTTCAAAGCAGCCTGCGCTACGCAGAGGTCGCTTGGATCCCGTTCTTTTCTGAGTGCTGACTTTAGTACTTGTTCTGGGCGAGCAGTGGGTTCCCAGTATCAGTATCGACGAGAAAGCGTCCAAGGTTGGTGCAATTTTCAGCCGAAACCCGATCGTCGATGGGCCAGACTGCCCTTCTTGAGCTTACGGTCAGTGGTGGTGCGCCGGTTGGCTGGAGCACTGCCGGTACCACCACCTGGCAAGAGACAGGCTTGTCGGCCTCCGTGCTTCTGCCTTCAGAGGAGCAAACGACCATTCGTCTTTGGGCCTCGCAGGAAGCTTGGCCTGCAGAAGGCTGCGGAAATCCTTCTCATAGCCTCGCGGAATGTTGAGGTCTCTCAGGAAGCTTCCTTGGTAATATGACTCCGACAAACGGCAATAAGAAGAGGTTTTGCACGTCCCCCGCTGGCGAATGAAGCCGAGGATGGTTTGGCCATCCGATCTCTAACGATGCACTACCTAAGCATCTGGGTGTTGCACTGGCATGCCTTCTTCTGATGTCGGTGCGGTACCAGCACGACGCTGTCTAGGAAACCGAAGGCCCTGCGGCCTAAACCATAAAATTTCCAGTCGCAGGCACTGGAGGCCAGTGTGGGTTTTTCACGGCAGTGCAAACTTGGACCTGCAGCCTCTGTGGCACTGGGAGCTATGCCAACACCACAGGGACGATGCTTGGCTACTGTAGGGTCTTGAATCAAGAGTAGTTTTCCGAAATACTCCCTGACCTCAAACGAAAAGCCACAGTTTGGAGTCCATACGTATATATCGTATATTATTATCGTCGAATCGTATTCATCTAAGCAAAAGAGCCGTGATGCAGACGCAGAGTTTACATGGTCTCCGGCCTCCGGATTTCAAGCTTCTGTGGGTGTCTCGAAACTATGAGAACGAAACGAACACGCTTTGTAGGGTTTAGAGGCTAGGGTTTACATAAGTCGTGTTCTCGGTCTCGCACCGTGAGGACGGCCGAGGCAGATACGCCACCGATAATTACATGGCAGCAGAGTTTACTTTGCAATTTGCATGCACGTAGCATCAGCGACCATCTGCAGAATCGCCACCAAACCTTGTATATAGCTCGAAGCTCGCGGTAAAACCTGAAAGGACGGCGTGCCGAAGGTGCGAGGCCGGAAGCTATGCGGACAGTGCTGGGATGTCTGCGTGTTCGCGCTGCAAGCCTGGTACCTCCAGCGGCTTGCTTTAGCATTTGAGCTGGTGTCGGGCAGGTGTTCGGTTCGGGGTTTTAGCTGGGCATTCGAGGAGTTTGTGCGCCTGAAATTAGCTGAGAGGGAATCGGGGCAAGAGAATAGGGTAATGAGTGACCTTAACTTCTATTTTGCTGTTTTTCGTTCCTGGCTCTGAGATTCGAGTAGTAGTAGTTCGCCCGAACACGACCTCGTCTGGCATGTCCGAGTTGCGAGAGCGTAAAGTCGAAACCGTGTCCTGCCTGCCGTGTGCCAGCGTGAGCGTCGAAACCGTGCGAGGCAATGTTTCCGGGGCCACAGACCTGACGACCTGCGAGCCCTGTGGCCCTGGTACCTACAGCAACACCAGCGGGGCGAGCGTCTGCGAGGAGGGAAGATTCAGGGTGTATTAGGGCATATAGGGTTTAGGTTATATACAGGAAACTTTTTTTTTGCATTCCATTTGCGCTTCCTATAGAGGTGTACCTATTCATAAATACTTCTAAGGGCCCTCAAAATGCAACCCAGATAGGGCTATACGGCTTACGTTAAGGATTGGGAAAGGCTGGGGAGTTTTGTAGTATGGGCTGAGTTTCACGGCTGCGAGTTTGGAGGATTGCGGGTTGGTGATTGAGGGCCATCCAGCACGGGATCCTTAGCAGACCCCGTAGTAACCGAACGTAGAATTTGAGTATTCGTCCATTGCTTCGGAGGACTGTGACACCGGGAGGTATCACACGCAAACCTATGCCAGCAGCAGCAGAGGGCTCAGAGAATGTCGCGTTTTACTTGCAGTCTTGTCCTGACCCTTATGCAACACATGATATGTATACATATATATATATACATATATACATGAATGTAATATGTATTTAAAGACTGATATAAATATATGATACATATATATATATATGATACATGTATGTATGAAATATGCATATATATATATATAGAGTACCTCATATGACCTCAAACCCCACACGACCGAGGTGAGGTTTGCTTGGCATGCAACCCTGGGCAAAGCAGTTTACCTGGATCGAGCAGCTGTCAGAACTGCTCGGCAGGAGCTGTGGGGGGGGGAAGAGAACTCTTGGTTTTTAGGGCTATAGGATTTAGGGTGGAGGACTGGTGCTGGGAATCCAAGCCAAGAAGTGCTCCAAATGCGTGGATAGGGGTTTAAGGCCTTGGAGTTACAGAGAAAGGTGGAACAGCATGGCGAAGTCTTGACAATGCCCAGATGCCCAGAGTGCTCTCGGGTTATGCCGGGTAATTCTCCGTTATGAGCCCAACTACCTCTGAACTATGCTAATGATGTTGAGCGCTGTGGCGGAGCTGTGTGATAACGGCAGCATCGCAGTATATCAAGGCCGCTCGCCGGGGACGACTTAACCCCAACCCTCAAATTTGTGGCGGTCCCTAATCCTTAAACTTCCCAAACCCTCAAATTTGGGTAGTCCTCTAGGTTTGACATCAGGCCTTCCCTGGCCGTTCCCTGAACAGGCCATCACTCCAACTGTAATGCCACTCCATAGCGACACCAATTCAGTTCCTGGTGGTGGCGCAGCCCTCAAATGGGAGTTTCCGAAAATAGGGGACCCCAATATGGTTTCAAATAGTAGGATCCTTATTCTAAGGACCCCCAAATAAGGTGCCCCTAATTTTCGGAAACTCCCAAGTTGCGGCTCTTCTGCAGGCTGTCGGGGTTCCAATGAAAGCAAGGCCCGAAGCCCGACTCGCGCAAAAAGGACGCTTTGCTGCACTTGCTGGGGAGAACTGCAGCCTTTGCGACCCTGGATTTTTTGCCGAAACTGCCGGAGCTACTTCCTGCAACTTGGCTTCAGCCGGGGTGTTGGTCGACATCTCGTGCGATCTGAAATGTAAGAGAAAACCCTATAGACTATAGACCCTTAGACCCAGAAACCTAAGTCCCACGCTTCGCAGTCGGAGATGCATCCTCCGAGTAGAGACACACGCATCCGAACAAACAGAAGCGCAGACCCGATCAACAAAGCTTGTGCTGTGCACGAAGATGGGCATATGTTCTGTTTGCGCATACCAAGACGGTACATAGCTCATCGACAGACGTTCAAGAATGCATAGATTGACATAAACCTGAAGCCAACCTAATTATGTTTTGTTGACAGATCGACCGACAGGCCTTGTGTACAGACAGAGACAGACCGGATTCAGGTCTGCCCTGTGCGCAGGGGCGTTGGGCAGCAAGCGGCGCAGTCCTTTGCGAAGACTGTGAGGCTAGCCACAGCTGTTTATGAACTCGTAGTTGGATTTCTGCAGGGTTACTGTAGGTTCGACTACATGACTCTACGCAGTTGCCGGGTTCTGAGGGTTGTCGTGGCCACAGGAAGTTTACGGAGTAAATCTTAATGAACTAAGCAGGACTTTCGGCTTCGGGCTGCTATCGCATAGGCTCGTGATCTTCTGTACCTGGGTAAATTTTTAATAGGAGGTTCTGTTCGAAGAGTTCGGGTTGAGGGAATGAATGATACTCGTGCAGAACCCACCATGAGGCTCGATTGGAGCAGCAGTTATGTGCCGTCGGGAAGTGCAGAGGCTGGCCGCTTCTCATCGTTACTGGGAGCAGAATCGCCGGAGAATTGCACCTTGTGCCGAGACTGCAAATCCAGGTTTCGGTGTTTGGGAAGTTGTTGGCTTTGGACGACTTAGTGACACAGTGATTCCGAGGGCTTCCCGATATACATGGAATGATCCACCCGACTCCAGCGTTGGAGTGCGCTTCGCTTCGTGTGCGCGCTTGTCGCCATCCGAGGTGACAATACCGTTATCAGTCAGAATCCGCATGACGGAAAAAACATGCTAAAACCTAAACCCGAAACTTGCGTTTGCATCCTTCAGGCCTCTTGCGCCATTGAAAGGCTCAATTCGTGTCTTCATGTTTGTGAGCGACAAGGGGGCTGAGGCAAACCTCTGTAGGACTGGATCTATCAAGGCTCTATATAACACCGAACTGGCCTCCCCACGCGCGAAAACCGCATCCCCTAAACACAGCTGCCCAGCAGGCGCTTTTGGGACTGCTCATCATAAATATGATTATAGTAGAATGGGCCGCAAAGCCCTTCTTTTATTTGTTAAGGCCCCTAAATTATACCCAGCCTACACAGGTGCCCTGCCGGCACCTTTGGGACTGCTTATGGTGCCGACTCGGATGATGCTTGCAGTGGCTGCGGGCCCGGCAATTTCAGCGGTGAGGGTTGGACGTTTTGCGCCCCTTGCCGGCATACAATACTCATCTTAAATATAGGGGCCTCATAATAATTAGAATAGGGTTTTGGGGCCATTATACTATACAGTTATCGTAATATTCATCTGAAATATACGGGTCTTATCAATTAGAATAGGGTTTGGGGGTACACTATACTGTAATTATGATAAGGACCCCCCCCCACTATAATATGTTCCTCTTAAATTCAAACATGGGGTCGACGGAGTTGTCATAAGCTTACCATAGTCGTGACAAGGGTTTTATAAGTTGTGTAGATGCCTGCACAAATTTTGTAAGTACAGCTATGCAAGGACCATGAGAGCATATTGGTCTCATTACTGCTTTCAGACATTTACATAATGGCTTCAGGCGGTACAAAGCCTAATTCTTGTGGAGGTATCTTAGGGCTACTGCCGAATCTCCGTTGATGGAGTTCGAAGTCGAAATCGCACCCACCGACGGTGAAAGTCCCATTCCGCGTCAGCACTCAGGAGACGTGTCCACTGGGAACCATCAGCACTGGAAATGCGTCTTCATGTGCTGCCCGGCGTGAGAAAGCAGGGCATGTTGTGCTAGCCGAATCTTTCTAACCCACGAGCTCCATATGATTTGGTTATCTTGCTCATGACGCCTCCTGCAACGGTTGAGGGTCAACAGGAAAAACAATGGCAATAATCGTGATGACCATGGTACAAGGACTCTGGGTATCGTCATCAGAAACATCAAATTTTGCTGCGAATGGCCATAGTAGTATCATCTATCAGTAATAGTGGTGCGGAGTGGTTCTAGTACTAGTACCGATCATCGCACTGGAGGCGGTGACGGTTTGGGCATTGCTGATACTAACGTAGTGGTGATGATGACAGTAACCGCCCCCCCATTGTCATCATCATATATCATCTTCATG